GCCACAAATTACATTTTTCACCACTTTGCCCAAAATTGCGGGATCCAGCCCCATTCCTGACCTTCCACCAGGGTGCTGACGGCCATCAGGGCGTCCTCCTGCACCCCCCCGGAGCCGGCCGTGCTCTGGAACATTCTGAGCAGCGACGCCATCACCACGTCCGAGATCTGCAGCGCGTCCTGGTGCTGCACCTTCCGCAGCACGTTCTGAGGGAAAAATCGTGGAAAACGGGCAAAAATCACTGTTTATCCTAAAGGTAAAGCACTCCCACAGCCCTGGGCCTGCTCCTTCTGAGGGAAAAATCATGGAAAATGGGAAAAAATCACCATCCATCCCTCAGGTACAGCATTCCCACAGCCATGGATGCTGCACCTTCTGCAGCATGTTCTGAGGGAAAAACCGTGGAAGACGGGCAAAAATCACCGTTTATCCTACAGGTAAAGCATTCCCACATCAATGGGTCTGCTCCTTCTGAGGGAAAAATCATGGAAATTGGGCAAAAATCACTGCTCATCCCATAGGCAAAGTATTCCCACACCAATGGCTGCTGCACCTTCTGCAGCACATTCTGAGGGAAAAATGGTGGAAATTGGGGAAAAATCGCTGCTTATCCTACAGATAAAGCATTCCCACAGCCCTGAGAGCTTTGATAAGGATGAAAGAGCTGCTGTGTGAACCCTTTTGCAGCCAAAAAAATCTGCTTTTGTGGCTGCAAAGTCCCGTTCATTTGGCTGCATTCAGATTTTCCAGCTGAATTTCCCTTTCCTGCTGCATGGGCTGTTCTCAAAGCTTTGCCATGTGTAAGCTGGAATTAAATGTGACCAGCCCAAATTTAGCCTATTAAAAAAACATAATAATGAAATCCTTTTTTTTCCTGTCCCAGCTGAGCTTGTAGGGGTTGAACCCATCTGAATTAAAGTTTAGAAATGCTTGAAGTGGTTAAAATACAACAGTTCCCAGGAAAAGAAAAATAAATCCTTAATTTCCAGAAGAAAGCAATTATTTAAAGTTTCATTTTTCACTCCACAAAGATGGACTTTGGCTGTTTATATAATTAAGATTTGATTTATGGAATTACAGGATGGTTTGGGTGGGAGGGGAGCTTAAAAATCCCTAAATTCCAAGGACAGGAACAGATTCCACTAATCCAAGTTGTTCCTTCCAGTGACAGGATTTTCTCACTTAATTTTCAATATTAACAAAGGCTTTTTCTTCTGTTGGATGTTTGTAATTGCATTTCCAGCAAAACAACAACAAAAATTGAGAAACCCCCCATACATTTTATTTTTTTAATACTGAAGAAAGCCCCTCTGCTGAGTTTTACTCAGTGGCTTTCAAGCATTTGCTGCAAGTTGATAAAAAATTCAGGTTCAGGTTCTGGGATAGTAAAAAAAACACATTTAGAAATTAAAATTGGCATCTTAATTCCACCTGGATTATGCTCCCCAGTGCCCACCCTGCAAGATTCCAGGGCGAAAGTTCCCCACTGAAACTTTCTAAGAAGAGATTATTCTAATTTCTCATTATTTTCAAAAATTACCCTAAAATTGGAGCATGAAAACAAAGCTTTTGAGGATGAAATTAAGGATTTCTCAAATCATCCTGGAGACCACCTGGGTTGCTCTGAGCTGATTTTGGGGGAAAAAAACCCTTTTTTGAGTGGCGTTTGCAACAGTAAGCACAGCCCTGATGGCTCCCGCTCATCAGCAGATGTTTAATTGGGAATTCTGAGGACACTCAGAACATTTTAATTGGTGCCATTTGGATCAGGAGCACCAAGCACGAGAGGCAGATGAGGGAATCTCTAAAAAGCCTTGAGGGAATTTTTTTTGTTGTTGTTGTCTGTGGGATTGTTGAGGCTGTAGCCAACCCAAGAACCAATCTGACAGCACAGACAACCTATAAAATCCCCAGCAGCATTCTTTGAGTCATATTGCCCTGAATTTTGTCTCTAGAGCACAACTCAGAGACTTCTGAACCTTGCATCACCTCCCACGTGTCAGCTGGGACCCAAAACCCACTTTTTTCATTCAACTCTCAGCACTGGGAGCTGAGGGTGCAGCTTTAGGGGCACAAAAACGCCTCAAAAATCACTTTATTCCCACAGCAAACTCAGGAGAGAGAATTTACCTGGAGAGTAGCACAGAGAAGAGACTGGAGGTCGTTGAACTGGATTCTGTCAGAGGTGCTCTGGATGTGAGACTGAAACAAGAACAAAATCCCACGTGTGAAGAGGCTGCCTGGGATCCTGGCAGCTCCAGGGAGAGCCAGGTTGTACTTTAAATATTTGTTCTTTTCAGATTTCAGAGCACAGGGGCTGTGAAGAAGCTGAATATAGAATCCCTGAGTGGTTTGGGACCTTAAATCCCAAACGGGCAGGGACACCTCCCACCATCCCTGGATTTGGACACTCTCAGGGATAGAGTTTTAAATTTAAATTTTTAATTTTAAATCAGGATTTACCCACCTCCATCTGCAGCACTTGCTGGAGCCTCTCCATGATGACCAGCGTGGTTTTTTGGACAGCAGGATAACAGTCCTTGGCACTGTTTTTCACTATTTCCATCAGGGATTCATAGGCAGAACTCCTCAAGTTATTCTGGTGTCCATCAGGTCTGCAACAGAAGGAGGAAGATTTGCAGCTCCAAGTGCTTGGAAACAGACTTTTTTTAATTTTAGTAAACCAGCAACAGCTCCATTTGAATGCTGTGACAAGCAGGAGCCACTTGAAAAGCCTTGAAATAAAGGGAATTTGTGAAGCCGCTTCTGGCAGTTTTGTTTTTAACAATTTTCCGTTTTCGAAATGATTTTCAGCAGCTCTCACAACAAGGAGAGGGACAGAAGGAGCCTCGGAGTTGGTGTCAGGTGAGCAGCACTTCAGAGCCCCTCCCCAGACACCCCTGAGGGTGTGAAATTTGGAATTAAGGCACCTGAGATGATTGATGGGCTCCAGAGCCTTGAGCCAGACACTCCACTCCTGGCTGGATGTAAATGAAGACAGGGAAAGAGTTTAAATTTTGAACTGGGACAAGGCTTTTAAGGAGAATCAGCAGCAAAGAAAGCTCCATCAGTCCATGGAGCTGATCCAGGGATTGAACCTGGAGCTGTCAGATTTATGTGACCTTCGAGCCACCAGCAAATTTGAGTTTTAGCCTTTTTCCCCTGCATCTGAGAGCAAAATATTTTACCTCAGATGTGAAGGGAAAATGTGAGGGGAAAATGGAGGAGTCATGAGGGGAAAATGGGGGAGATGTGAGGGGAAAATGTGAGGGGAAAATGGGAGAGTCGTGAGGGGAAATGTGAGGGGAAAATGGGAGAGTCGTGAGGGGAAACAGGAGAAATTTGAAGGAAAAGGGAGAAGGGACACTTTTGGACTTCCTAAAACCAGATATGGACAAAATTATGAGAAATTATTCAGTGGGAAGAGCTGTTTTCCTGGGATTTGCATCCTCTATTCCTCTGGGGGGTTTTTTTATACCAACTAAAGCCACGTTTTAATCCAACACCAGATCTCAGCTGCCAAGGAGAGCCTGAGAGCGTGGAGTGGGACATAAATGAGAAAAGGCTTTTTGGGAAGGTTGCTTTACCTGTCTGCAGTCTCCAGCAGTTTCTGCACTATCAGCTCAAAGGAGGAGGATAAGCAGTAGGTTGCTGGCTCTTCCTGATCATCAGCCACATCTGCAGCTTCATAGGCAGCTTCAGCAAGGCTGGAGAAGGCCTGGGACACAAAATATCAAAATATCCANTCAACCACCCACAGAGCCCAGAGAAACGGGGGTAAACCACCCACAGAGCCTGATCAATGACCCACAGAGCCTGATCAATCACCCACAGAGCCTGATCAATCACCCACAGAGCCCCTGTGCCCAGGGAAATGGGGATAAATCACCCCACAGAGCCCTGGGCCCAGCGTCTGCAGCACCTGCACGCAGGAGGAACGGCGGTAAACCACCCAGAGAGCCCAGATAAACCACCCACAGAGCCTGATCAATGACCCACAGAGCCTGATCAATGACCCACAGAGCCTGATCAAACACCCTACAGACCCTGTGCCCAGAGAGATTGGGATAAATCCCCCACAGAGCCCTGGGCCCAGCGTCTGCAGCACCTGCATGGTCAGAGAAACGGGGATAAACCACCTACAGAGCCCAGATAAACCACCTACAGAGCCCAGATAAACCACCCACAGAGCCTGATCAAACACCCACAGACCCCTGTGCCCAGAGAAATTGGGATAAATCACCCCACAGAGCCCTGGGCCCAGAGAAACGGGGATCAATCACCCACACAGCTCTGTGCTCAGGGAAATGGGGATAAACACCCCACAGAGCCCCTGTGCCCAGCGTCTGCAGCACCTGCATGGTCAGAGAAACGGGGATAAACCACCTACAGAGCCCAGATAAACCACCCACAGAGCCTGATCAAACACCCACAGAGCCCCTGTGCCCAGGGAAATGGGGATAAACACCCCACAGAGTCCCTGTGCCCAGAGAAATTGGGATAAATTATCCCACAGAGCCTGATCAAACACCCCACAGAGCTCTGTGCCCAGAGAAATTGGGATCAATCACCCACAGAGCCCCTGTGCCCAGAGTCTGCACCACCTGCATGGTCAGAGAAACGGGGATCAACCACGTACAGAGCCCAGAGAAACGGGGATAAACCACCCACAGAGCCTGATCAAACACCCTACAGACCCTGTGCCCAGAGAAATTGGGACAAATCACCCACAGAGCCCTGGGCCCAGCGCCTGCAGCACCTGCATGGTCAGGGATGGGAGAAATGGGGATCAATCACCCACAGAGCCCAAACCCCACAGCTTGGCCACAAATCACCTGGGGTCTACTGGAAAAACAGTGCTGGGATGGGAAGGGTTAGGCTGGGATGGGAAGGGTTAGGCTGGAATTGCCGAGGTAAAGGTTCAACAAATCGGGGTTGAATTCACCCCAAAAAGCAAATTTTTTATGCCAAAATTATCTGGGGAATTTTGTTGGGCGTTGGGATTGATCAGGAGGAGTTCTGAACTTCGGGAACTTTTCATTAAAAACACGGAGGGACTGGGATGGATTTTTTCAGCTTTTCCTGTAATACACCAGTAAAATTTTCTTTAAAAAATAGAGGCAGGGGTTTGCACTTTTCCATCATTTTTAGTTGTACACCAATAACTTTCTCTAAAAAGTAGAGGGAGTTTTTTTAGCGTTTCCCAGTCATACACCAGTAAAATTTTCTTTAAAAAATAGAGAGAGGGGTTTGCACTTTTCCATCATTTTTAGTTTTACACCAGTAACTTCCTCTAAAAAACTGGAGGGACATGGGATGAATAATTCCCAGTTATTTCCCACCAATAACTTTTACTTAAAAAAAATAGAGTGAAAAGCTTTTTTTTTATAATTTCCACGCGAATACCAATAATATTTTCTATAAAAAATAGGAAGGGATTAGCATTTTCCCAATATTCTTGGTTATAACCAACAAAACTTTCTTTAAAAATCAAAGAGATGAGGATTAGTTTTTTCAGCATTTCCAATTACACACCAACAACATTTCCTTTCTAAACTGGAGGGAGTGGGATGCATTTTATCAGCATTTCCACTTCCACACCTTCATTTTCCAAGTTTCCACCTAAATGTTGGATTTTTGGTGTTGAAAACAGCAGCAAATTGTTTAATTCCAGTGCACAAGGAGAGCTCCTGATCCTGGTAAAATTCCATGGAAATAAAGGAGCAAAGGTGCTCCATCATCTCTCCCCCAAATTCACCCTCTGGTGTGGCTGCACGTCCAAGCCCTGGGAGAAGGAAAGGTGGGAGTGGATGGAATTTAAGGTTCTCCCCACCCAAATAATTCTGGGATTATTGCGAGAGATTCTATTAACACCAAAAAAAAAAAATAAACATAAAGCTCAGGGCCGAGCTGATTCAGTCACAGAGCCTGCACAAATCCCAGCACCATTTTTTGCTCCCATCAGCCAAAAAGAAACAACAAACCACTGAGCCACCACTTCTGTCCCTGCAGGCTCTGCACTCCAGCTGGGCAAAACGCACCCTCAGGAAAACACACGGATTTTTAGTAATTTCCTATCTGGAACTTGTAATTTTTTTCCCATTTTTCACTTTTAAAACGTGCTGGGCCTCATGTGAACATTGCTCAGACTCAGAGCATTTCAAAGGTGTTGGTGGGGAGTGGAGAGCACTGGGGGAAGCTCCTCCTCAGAAAGGGAAGAAAAACCTTCCTCAAAAAGCATTTCCTGCAGAAAAATCAGCGCCCAGCCAGGCTGCAGGGGAAACCATGGAATCCTGGAATGGTTTGGGAGGGAAGGGACCTTAAATCCCATCCAGGGTCACAGGCAGGGACATTTCCCTCTGTCCCAGGGGCTCCAAGCCCCAATGTCCAACCTGGCCCGGGGCACTTCAGGGATGCAGGGGCAGCCACAGCTGCTCTGGGCAATCCCTGCAGCGTTTTCAGGGCTCCACTGTAGAAACTTCTTCCTTTAGCTCACCTGAACCAACCCTCTTCCAGTCTGAAACCATCCCCTGCTGCCCCACCACAGCCTCCCACAAACCCCAAACACCCTGGGCTGG